GGGGATGGGATGAGGAGGGGATGGGATGCCATCAGCTTTGCCCAGGACAGGCGGGCACACAGCGTCCCCGGGCGCTGCAGAACCCTCAGTGCCCCCGTACCGTGCCCAGGGCGGTGAACGTGCTGCCGAACCGCGTGCTGGGCTGCGTGGGGCAACACCTGGGCGAGCCCATCGAGCAGCTGGCCGTGGCCCCGGACGGGAAGCTCCTGGCCAGCAGCGGCCACGACCAGAAGGTGAAGTTCTGGGACGTGTCGGCGCTCGGCTCCATGGTGGTCGATGATTACCGCCGGAAGAAGAAGAAGGGCGGGCCGCTGCGCGCCCTCAGCAGCAAGGCGCTGGGCAGCGGGGAGGATTTCTTCGCCGACCTGCGGGACGAGGCCGAGCCAGAGGCGGTGGCAGCACAGGGTGGTGACAGCGACGACAGCGACAGCGACAGCGACTGAGCGGGGCCCGGGCGCCACCCCCTCAGCGCTGCCGCCCCGCCCTGCGCGGGGGCGGGGCTCTGCGCGTCCATCTCGCGGGGCGTGGCCAATCAGCCGAAGCCACAGGCGTGCCCGCCTACGGGGCGTGGCCTCACTGTAATGCTATCACTGTAGGTGGGCAGGACGCTGGCGTTCTGATTGGCTGCTACGGCTGCCAGTCAAACTGGGCTGTAGGCGTGGTCTTAAAGGGGCAGCGCGTGTCGGAGCGGGTGGGGTCTCGTAGGGGCAGCGGTTGTGAGGGGCCGGTGGAGCCGGGGTGGCCCCGGGATGGCGGGACAGGCTGGCGATGGTGAGGATGATCCTGCCGGAGAAGGTGTTCCCAACATCGGAGGGGCCTGGAGGGGGGGCACATGGATGGACTGGGAAGGGTCCCTGAGGGGGGTCCGTGATGGATGGGGAGTGGCTCTGGGATGGGGGAACATGGCTGAGGGCCCCTGGTGGAGAGGTTATGGGAGAAGGAGCCCTCAGCCATGAACATCCCTGGTGAATGAGAGGGCTCTGATATGGGGGGACATGGCCGGCTGTCATGTTCATCCCTTCCCTGCCCTGCTGTCCCAGCAGGTCAATTACCCTTTGTTAATTAAGACTTTAGCTCTGTTAGAAATAAACCCAGTGCCTTTCACTTCCCAGCGCCTTGTGCTGATGGTTTGGCTCATCCTCATGAGGCAAGGACTCCTGGTGTACCACAAGAGGGACAGACAGGCTTTCAGGGACTGCAAGAAAGAATTTAAAGAGGGCATTAAAAGGCTCTTGGAGAATTCTAGGGATCTCTAAAAGGAAGAGGGATGGGACTTAGGTGCTGCCCAAGGGATGTGGTAGGTCCAGATGTGCATCACAGTGTGTCATGAGTGGGAAGAGGGGCAGGGATGGGTCCTTCCCTAGGGATGAGCAAAGTGGGTGGACACTGCGACCAAGGCCCCTGGAGGAGCCCCTGCACCTGCTGGGGAACGGGGAGGATCTGGTGCAGTTCCGCCAGGCTTCCTACTCCTGCTTGTGGCTCACATTCCCCATTGGATTGCCTAGGACCCCCTTGGACCACCAACTGCAGCCCCAGGTGCTGCTGGCTCAGGGGTTCGTGCTGCACCTGCTGGGATGGGAGCTGGGCCATCTACAAAACTGAGACACCCAGAGTCCCTGGAGAGCATAAAGGGATGTCTTGGTTTGAAAAACAGGTGTCTGCTAACGAAAGCAGGAGCCTCCCTTGGAATGGTTATTGTTCCTTAGCAACAACAACGGGAAAATTCCCTAAGACAGAGAAAAACTAAAGGAAAAACCCCAACCTCCAACAAGGTGCTACCAGATGTCCCAGAGGTCCACAAAAAGACAGTGTAGAGGAAATCAGGAGGTGCTTGGGGGAGCCTGAGGGGTACCAAAAACTGTTAAGAAAGAGCCTAGTGGGTAGAAGACAACAAAGATCGAGGTGCCAGGGAGTGCTGCATCCCACAAAATAGCCCACCAGGCCCTGAAGGCTCCAAATCCTACTGTCTCTTGCCTTTCCTGGTGTGTGGGGAGACCACTGAGATGCACTGGACCAGCAGGGAGCTGAGGATGCAGGAGGAAAAGATGACATGACACAGCTGGTGCTTTCTAGAACTCTTTTAATTCCAGAAGAACATACGGCCAGACCTCCCACTCCTGAGGACTCATTCATGGACAGGTGGCCTTGTTCTCCCCTGGGGCTGTTCCTCAGGACCCAGGAATGCCAGCAGAGGAATTCATGCCAGTGGCACCCGGTGCTGGCAGCTCCTCCAAGAGCTGCTACTTCTCCTGTATCTGCCCCTCCAATACAACACAATCCAGCTTAACAGAAACCAAACTTTGCTGGAACAACAACAACCCAAAACTGGAACCAACTTAAGGGCGGCCTGGGGACGGTGGCTGCCATGAACCAGGACAGCAGCCTTTATCCTCCAGAGCCGGCCCTCAAAACTGCTACAAACATCCCGAGGGAAAGCTGGAACGGAGCCAGGAGCCCAGCAGGGCTCAGACTCCATGGTGGCTTCAGCAGAGCAGCTGCCTACCTCAGCTGGCACCCTGCAATGGATAGGGAAACATCAGGCTCTGTCCTCACCCCCAAACCCCCTCCCTCTTGCATCCCGTGCTTCCCAACAGAAATCCCACCCACAGCTCAGAGGAGACAGTGTTTCAGCCCTGCCCCAGAAATGCCACAGCTCCACACTCCCAGCAGACACTTGTTCAAGACTTTGGGAAAGGCAGGGAGTTGGCTCTGCAAGGACTCACCAAGGACTTGCTTAGCACATAGAGAATGTGCAGGGCTGCTGCCACCTTGGCCTTCTCGTGCTCGCTCTGGCCCTGCATGTCTGACAAGACCCACGTGAAGCCACTAATGGGCACAGGGCATCCTGGGATCACCACCTGGTACCAGAATTTCTGCCACCCGTTGGGTTTCACTTGGACACACTTGGTCATGAACACGGGTGTCCTCAGGCGATGCTTCCAGCAGAGCATGTTCAGGTACGCCAGCACGTTCTGCAGCGACAGACAAGGGGCCACCGGCCTGGGCACTGCCAGGCTGTTGCCTCCCTGCACCCGGCTGGACAATGGCTCCTCCTCATAAAGCTGCAGCTTCTTCTTCAGCTGGGGGTCTAGCCAGTCCACCCTGATCCCTTCTTTCCCGAGCATCGGGGTCCCTAGAAGACAGGAGATGCTCACGTACCCTCCAGCACCATCCCATCCCTATCCCTTACAGTGATCCCCAGGATTTTAGGGGCAGCTTGAATTTAGGGCCAAAGTGAACAGATACCAAAGCCAAATGCTCCTCAGTTGGGGCAGAAATGGGTCGAAACCAGGACTTTGGAGGTCCCAGCTGGATGTCTGAAAAGTGTGTCCCATCAGGCCATTGCAGTCAAGGGACAGGGCTCAGAGGGATTGAGCAGCTCCATCAGGAGTGTTTAAGGGACACTGAGAGGTTGGGCAGCTTCACTGGACAGGTTTAATAACTTGGTTAATGGTATGGATGCCCTGAACTGGTGATGCTCCTGCTCTGAGGAAGCAGCTTCCTGGAGACCTCTGGCAGCCCCTTCATCCCACCACCAACCAGTACGACTGCCAGAAATCAACTACATGCAGGGCAGCTGGCATCCCACAGGACACAAGAAGAGAGCAAGGGGTGTCCCAAGGCTGAAGTCACCTTGCAGCCAAGCCTGGAGGTGGGAAACACCAGGAAGACCAGCCTGAGCAGCATCCCTCAGCACCACTCACCTTCCATCAAGGCTTTCCTGGCCAGCGCAGCAGCCTCGTGCGATCTGTATTTCAGCACAGCAAGCTTGGCCTGACTCTGGCCGGGGCTGTCGTGCAGGGTGACACTGTGGATCCCCTCAGTGACCATGTGCAGCCTGGCCTCCAGCTCCTGCTGGCTCACCGAGGCGCCCAGGCCGCTGACGATGAGCTCACGCTTCTGCGTGCTCCAGCACACGATGATGGGGCAGCCGTGGCGCAGCTGGAAGCGGTGCAGGGTGGCGATGGCTCTCCGGGCATCCTGCAGGGACGCGTAGCGGGCGTAGGCGAAGCCGCGGTTGAGGCCGCTGAAGGTGAGCATGAGGCGGAACTCGTAGAGCTTCCCCACGCTCTGGAACAGCGGGATCAGAGTGTTCTCGTAGATGTCCTGCGGCAGCCTGGCGATGTACACCTCGGTGCCGGCCGGCGGTGGGCCGCCCACCCAGCCTGCGGGGACACCGGGAAATTTATTTACTCGGCTTCCGATACTGACACACAATATGAAAGGGAAGTTTTAGTGGAGATATAATGTATCCACAACTGTAAGTGGGTAATACATACTGGCACAACAAAAACGAATTTAAACCTCACAATGTGTTCCACTGCCTCCCAGGCTTCTGGTAAGATCGGTGAAATCTTATCTCCACAACTTTCTAAAATCAGACACTATGCCATCAGATATACCAGCAAAAACAAGTGCTATTTAATACTTCACGGTCCTCAAACAGTGAAATTACCAATGCAGGTTAGTATCTTCAATTAATTTCTGTCTAGTCCCTGTGCACGGCCAGCAGGGTTGCATGGACAGACCCTGACCCCTCCAAAACCATCAGGGGAAGAGTGAGAGCTATCCTAGGGACAGAATTGGGAGCACTAAGTACTATGGATGCTAGAGTCCTAGCAAACAAAATAAACTCAGTAACAAGTGATTTATACCAATGGAAAGATCTATGACGACCCTCCTTACCAGACACCTCAATGGGAAAGGATCGAGGTAAAAGATCAGCAGCTAACACTGAAAGCCATCAGCTGGCACCTCTCCACCTCCGAGGGGTTTTATCTTTTATGAAGTCTAAAAACCAACTTCGGACAAGGGTGGGGACCCCTACTGGGGAAACGCGTGCTCCAAGGGGGATAAAGACCAGCCCCGTACCCAGGGCCCAGCTGCTCCTCTGACATACCTGGGGGGGGCCCTCCATAGCGCCTCTGCCCGTTGATCTGCACCAGCTTGATGCCAGTCTCCTTCTCCCAGGCGAGCAGGGACATCTTGCCTTCGTGATTCTGGTCCATGCCTGAAGACAGAGATGATGGTGGTGATTGTGTGAGCAAAGAGCTTCCAGCCTCCCAGCTGGGAGCATCCCAACCCAGTCAGGGAACTGCAAGATCCACTGCTGGCCAGCATGTGGAGGGGCAAACAAATCCCTCTGCTCTCAGGGAACCTCAGGAGCCTCCCAACACTCCTATCCCAAGGACTGTCCAAGCCTCCTCCACATGACACAGTCCAGCAACTTTGTTAGAGCCTGAAGTCAACAAAGTTTCCTACAGTCCTGCAAGGGCTTGGAAAGCCACTACACTGTCAGCATCTGCCTGGTGCTGCAAGAGGGAGCTGGATCACAGAGCCAAGGTGACACTGCATTGTGAGAAACGATACTCACTTTTAAAAATTTCAAAGGTTTATTAAAAACCTTAACAAAATACAACGAAGGAGTGAGTAAGGAAAAATTACAGCGCCGGGAGTACGGCACTAAACTGCCACGTGCTTGTCTACAACATGGATGCTCTGCTTTTTATACCTTTGGCCCCTCCTTAAGTCTTGTCAGTTAACTCCTTCTTTGCCATCTATTGGTGGAGGCTTCTTTTCTGCAACTTGACTGGAGGTGAGGTGTCGTTATGCCCTGCCTCCCAGTAACAAGGCTTCCCTCCTCCCAAAATGGCCCATGCACGGGGCACGTGTTAGCCACACAGGGGGATGGAAGGGGGACGATGAGGAGAACAGAGGACATCTAAATAACAAATCGCAATAACATAACTCTACATCAATAAAACTTTCTTTAACATAATATTCATCTCTGAATTGCGAGAGCCAACCATCAAATTACCTATCTATAACAGCATCACGAGAGCTTTAAAGTGAAAGACAGTGGGTTACATAGAATATTGGGAAGAAAATCATCCCTGTGAAGGTGGTGAAGCACTGGCACAGTTTGCCCAGAGAAGCTGTGGCTGCCCCATCCCTGCAAGTGTTCAAGGCCAGGCTTGAACGGGGCTGGGATGGTGGAAGGTTCCCTGCCAGTACAGAAAAGATAATATTAAAGAGAAACAAGAACTGAGAACTGAACTGGAAAGCAGTAAAGCAGCTGAGTTATCACTGTCCTTGAAACTAGAGCAGCTGCAAATACACTTACAGGACAGAGAGGAAAACAAAAGTTGGAGGAAAACGTTTAGCTAATGCTTATGTGCACTTCAAGTGCTTCTGACATTGTGCAGATTAGAAAATTAACTGCATCTCCTTAAGATTGCCCAAATCCTTGGCCTTGCTACAAAAACAAGACAAAAGTAGAAGACACAGCCTTTAATGAACAACTAGCCAGGAGTGTTTCTGAAATTTTAAAACACAGGGAAATCCCCACCTGTGCAACACTAATTGCGTGCATTTTTGGTATCACCATGATACCAAGAATTCTACATGTACTGTCAGACTAACTGACCGTTCCCAAGAACTAAGACTTACAGGTCGTCCACTGAGAAAACAGAGGTGGAAAGAATTATACAATAAAGCATTATTTTCAAAAATTAAAAAAAAACCAAACCCTGCAATTTCCCTGCCCCGGGGAAAAGGTGAAAGAAACTCCTGACTAAAGTTAGTAATAAAATTTAAAAAGCAGTATTTCCAACAGGAGAAGTACGCCCCCACGATCCTGTTACAGCAAGATGGCGTTTTACTGAGCATGGCACCTAAACATAACTTGCTTCAAACTGACCCTGAATAACGGTACCTTCACTATTTAGTTCGACTGCATTTCAGGAGACAGAACAGAGATGTTCTGAATGGGAAGAGGGACTTTTATCCCTAGTCTGAGCAGTGAAACGAGCTCACATTTTCCATATAAGTAGGTACAATGGGCCAAAAAGGCAGAATTCAATGGGTTTTCCACACCCAATATTACCCCAGCCAAATGGAGGCACAGAACAGGCTAATGGCCTATTGAAAAAGAGCCCGAAGCCACTCAAGACTGAGGACGATACTCAGGGTACTTTACACGAATTAAATAATCGCTATGGCCTGCGTTGAGCAGCACCTTAAATGAGGTGCTCCACCTTCCATTCAAGGGGAACATCTGACAGCTTTACAGTCAGGATAATCCGTTACGGTAAAAGAACACAAATTAAAAACTGTGCCTGTGACTGACTAAATCTCGGGGCACACTTGGGAAACTACGAAGAACAGTGGTAAACAACACAGAATGAGCGCGCAGTGGCTCTTCCCTGTTTTTAATGGGATGATAACTTGTCCGGGCAAGCCCCGCCGGTAGTTGTACTATTTTACTTTTGCAGAAAACGATACTGGAAATGATGCCAGCACGTCTCCACTGAAAATCCAAAAGTTATCCACTGAAGGACTGCTTATTCTCCTCACAGAAGGAATCAGCACCAGAATGAACCAGACTTAGCACATAAATCACCAAAACTGAGCCACGGGATGGAAACCTTCACTTTCTCCATCTGTAATGGTCGCTGTGATAACGGCTGTAACCATGCTTAAGCCTGAATGCATTTCAATGACCATTGCTAATGAATAAGCCATAATTATACAAATTTAGGAGCTTAGCCGAATAACATGAATTTGGCAGGGGGAAATATAACCGTAATACGCGAAGCACAACTTTCCACCAAAAAGGGGGAAATTAATTTATTCAGCTTCCAATACTGACACACAATATGAAAGGGAAGTTTTACTGGAGATATAATGTATCCACAACTGTAAGTGGGTAATACCTACTGGCACAATAAAAACGAATTTAAATCTCACAATGCGTTCCACTGCTTCCCAGGCTCCTGGTAAGATCGGTGAAATCTTATTTCCACAACTTTCTAAAATCGGACGCTATGCCATCAGATATACCAGCAAAAAATCACGGTCCTCAAAGCAGTGGAATTATCAATGCAGGTTAGTATCTCTTCAATTCAGCCTGCCATTTCTGTCTAGTCCCTGTGCACGGCCAGCAGGGTTACATGGACAGACCCTGACCCCTCCAAAACCATCAGGGGAAGAGTGAGAGCTATCCTGGGGACAGAATTGGGAGCACTAAGTACCATGGATGCTAGAGTCCTAGCAAACAAAATAAACTCAGTAACAAGTGATTTATACCAGTGGAAAGATCCATGACGACCCTCCCTACCAGCATTACGAGCCAGACCCTTACCAGACACCTCAATGGGAAAGGACTGAGGTAAAATATCAGCAGCTAACACTGAAATCCATCAGGTGCTGGCACCTCTCCACCTCCGAGGCGTTTTGTCTTTTATGAAGTCTAAAAACCAACTTCGGACAAGGGGACCCCTACTAGGGAAACGCGTGCTCCAAGGGGGATAAAGTCCAGCCCCGTTCCCTCCTCAGAGCCTCGTGGCCCGGCCCTGCGGCTGCCGCGATGGTCCCAGCGCAGGGAACCGGCCCGAGGGGTGCTGGGCTGTGTGGGGAGGCAGGACCCGGCTCTGTTCCCACAGCCCCCGGTGCTAACGGGGCTCCCGGGCACCCCCCGGGCCTGGCTTAACTTGAGGGAGCTCCGCGTGGGATCGGAACCAGAACTGGGATCGGGACCGGGACCGGCAGCCCTGCCGGCGCTCCCAGCCGGGCGTGGGGTTCAGTTCCCTTCGGGAAGGGTCTCCCCGAGATGAGCCGAGCCCGCCCCGGCGCCCCCCCGCCGCCCCAACAGCGCTCACCTCCTCGCCGCGACTTCAGCTTCTTCAAGCTCTCCGAGCTGTTCGCGCCACCGGGCCGGGAGAAGAATGGACCCAGCACCGCCCTACCCCGGACCGACACCCGGCACCACCCGCCAGTACCCGCCCCGTCGGGGTCTGGCCTTGCTTTGTCTCGTCTGGCGTCGCCTTGCCACGCCTTGCCTCTCCTTTATTCTCTTGTAGGCGAGGCGAGGCGAGGCAGGAGGGGGCTACCAGCGAACCCTTCTAACAGAGGCGTCAAGGTTGGAAGAGACCTTCAAGACCATCTAGTCCCATCATCAGCGCAATTAGACCTCAGGTGACAACGTCCCCAAAAGATATGCCGGGTTTGAATCTATTCTTACTTGCAGAGCTGGAAGGCTTCGTGGTGCTTTTTCCAATAGCAAAGGAGGATTTTGGGGAGGGTCAGAAACATCTACTGAAAGAAATCCTTCAAGCAATGTCTGATGCGCAGGAGAGTGCCCTGGCCTAAATCTCCCCTGCGTTACAAAGCGCACCCGTGAGAGACTGAGCTGTTAATGGTCATTGCATCAACAACCGCCCGTGTGCATTTGGGGAGGCACCCGGTGTTTGCTGGCGCCGGGTCCGGGGTGAGGACCAGACTTTTGGGCGGCGTGGTGGCGAAACCTGATCTGCAGGAGACATGGGGGGTGCACAGCGGGCACCAGGCTCTGGGGTTTCAGGCGTATAAGGGAGAAAGCCAGACAGACCGTCGTGCTTGTTTCCAAGCCACTGTCCCCTCCCTGCCCCCAGGGAAGGGTGACATTCACAGGGACATTCTCCCATTTCGGACAATTCATCCATTTGGGGCCGAAGGATTTTATCCCTTCTGATGAGGCGTAACTGGCTCATCTTTGCTCAAGTGAGGGGCAGGGCCATGACTTAAAAGGAGTCATAAACCATCAAAGACCCTTCAGACAGTGTAAAATTCCCCTCGTGTTCCATCTAAACCTAAATGTGTATTAACCCGCTGACGCTGGTGTTTCTTGGGCTTTCCCCCACCCATGACGGATCAAGACTGTGACCATCACTCCGACCAGCAGATATAAAAATTGCAACAATCAAGTCTCTTCAATCAAGTCTAATTACTGGATACATGGGTGGTGAGATCTTTCCACTCTTACCCTTCCTTCCGCTTTCTTACACATTTTTTACCTGTTATTCCTTTGCTTTTATATTGTTGCATTACTACAGATAATAACCAGAATGACTACATCTCTGCTTTCCACTGCTTCTAAATGGTTCTAAAATAGACCCTACCTATTTTTATTTGCAAACACCACTCACTCAGTGTTATGTCACCTCTAATGCTCCCCAGTGGACTTATTAAC